ACTCTTTTTTCCACTAAGTTAACACAGATGAAATAATAGTCTCTAACCATCTTCATATATGTGATAAAACATTTGAACCTGGTCTAGAATATGCCGACCTAGAGGAAAACAAGAATATTGATGATTCTTCAAGGAAATTCAGATATCTGACTTCAATTAGACATGTGATTAGAGAAAATAAAGACTGGACAGGACATTCATTTTTCTGTTGCCAATAGCATTATTAAGTTTAAAATTCGAGAGAGCTACATTTTTAGAAACAAAACAAAAAATTCCTTAGAATTTCAAAGTGCTCTGATGAGTATGAACAGTGCTATAAGTGCCTATGACCAACTTTTGCATTTTCAGCTTCAAATCCAAGCATCCATTCTATCACTTGGACCAGGAGGAAGCCCTATGGAAATCTACAAGAATTCCATTTTACCCACAAAATGCTATGATATAGCCAAACTCTAACTAAATTCCTGAAACTGAAGTTTATGCCTAATGTTCAATATGTAAATCAGGATAAAATGCAGTCCAAATTTCTATAAAAACATAGTTATATGTTTGGTACTATCATTTTTACTGATCATTAAATAATTATTCTGTTGACTAAAGTTGATTGAATTTTGATTACTTTAAAATCACCATTAAAAGTCTAAACTTCTGAATAGTGAAACACTTCACCATTATGAAAATTAAAAAAAAAAAAAACTCATAAAGCCTGTGTCAGACCATGCTTGCACTGTTACAACGAAACACCTGAGACTGTTAGTTTATAAGAAAGCAGGTTTAATTGGCTCACCGTTCTGGAGGCCGTATAGAAAGCACAGTGGCATTTGTTTCTGGTGAAAACCTCGGGAAGCTTCTAATCATGATGGAAGGCCAAGTGGAGACAGGCGTCCACATGGCAGGATTAGTAGAAAGGCAGAATGCCACACACTTAAACAACCAGATCCTGCCAGTAGGCACTCACTCTCTTGGGGACAGCACCAAGTCCTGAGGGATCTGCCCCCATGACCCAAACACCTCCCATTGGCTTCACCTCCAACATTGGGGATTTTATATATACATACATATATATATATATATTTTTTTATTTTTATTTTTTTTTTTTTTTTATTTTTTTTTGAGACGGAGTTTCACTCTTGTTACCCAGGCTGGAGTGCAATGGCACGATCTCGGCTCACCCCAACCTCTGCCTCCTGGGTTCAGGCAATTCTCCTGCCTCAGCCTCCTGAGTAGCTGGGATTACAGGCACAAGCCACCATGTCCAGCTAATTTTTTTGTATTTTTTTAGTAGAGACGGGGTTTCACCATGTCGACCAGGATGGTCTCGAACTCTCGACCCCGTGATCCACCCGCCTTGGCCTCCCAAAGTGCTGGGATTACAGGCTTGAGCCACCGCGCCCGCTGGGGATTATATTTTAACATGAGAATTGGTGGGGACATACATCCAACTGTATCAGAGCCCTCTCAAGTAATTCACTTATGAGCCTGTATTTTACTATTTTTAAAACTGGCATGACTAATTTAAATGAGCAGTGATTTGAGATTTATGCCTCCCCTTTCTTTGTGTCATGGATAATTTCTCTGTGCTAAGGTGTGAGCATACACATCATTTGAACTTTTACTGAAGTAGAAAATCAAGCCTGCCTTGTTTCACTAGCAGGGGAATAGTAAATCCTCTGTTGCTAAACAAATATCACGTCTAATTATGATTTAAGTTTAATGTTGGCCATAGTACTATCTAAACACATGGTTAATGGTCTGGTTTATTCTACACTATAGCTTCCTGAATAAACCTGATTTGGAAAATCCCAATGTCTATTTGTATTATCAACTATTTCTTAAGAATTTGTTCTTTGGTTTTATACAATTATTTGGATAATTTCATATTTTAGTTATTTAAAGATAAGGATGTCTCAGAATAATTTAAATTTATTATATTATTATAGTTTTGATAACATAATTTTCTATTAATACCATAATTTCTATTATGGCCCATTTTGTTTAAGTGAGTTAATACATACTCAAAGCAGTTGGCAAAGAAAAACTATGTAAGTGAATATGTAAGTCACCCTAATTTTGAAATGTTATTCTACATCTAATATTCTTTAAATTACTTGAGGGTGAGGTTAGTGGGTTATTCTATGCCTTAGAAGCTGTGTCCATGTTGGTAATATGCAAATAATCACATTTTAGATCTTTGGGTTTAAAATATCTTCTAGTCACAGCCCTTATTGCAACCTTTTTACTGATTAGTAATAATGAGATAGAAAAATACTTACCTATAAAGTGAAGATAGACATCCAAGCCTGATGATTATTTTAATATCAGAATCTGGGAAGATATTTCACCAAATATTTGGGCAGGAAAGACAATAGAGGAGAAACTGGTGATTATACATCACATCCTAGAAATGATAATCTCACAAGTAAACTATTGTTAGCAGCAACAGAAACAGGAATACCCTTGGTAGCAGTGGATATAAGAATTAAGCTGTGGAGGGCAGGTGTGAGATACACAGTGAGATGCAGCCAGACTTGGATCTAGGAATTTGGCAAGGTGCTATACGTATGAGTTTACCATTGAACTGTAGATCTGAGAACAATAATAGAACAGCACCAAAAAGAGTTAAGTCACAAAGTACAAACACTATATGGTGGCGAGCTCAGACACAGAGAGAGGTGATAACCTTTCTAATACTGAGTCATGCTCTGCTTGGGAGACAGAAACCACACAGGATTTTTAAACAGTGAAATAGAATTGTTAACTGGTAAAAGGTGGTTGGTTACTAAAAAAGGATAAAAGAAAGCTATAAGGGGTCCCAAGTACAGGTACGGAAGAGCAGCTACTCCCTCTAGGCTGAGGGAGGGGAGACAGTGAAGGAGTTAAGGGCTAAGAAAGGGCATGCTCCTTCTCCCACATTCAGCAAAGCTGAGGTTCAGAGGTCTTGAAAAAGGTGCTGTTGTCATAGGAACATACAGCCTATGAGAGTGGTCAAACAAAACCAAAACAAACATGTAAGAGTTTGTAGACAAGTATGTCTGTAGAAGCTGCCCACTGTTCTTGGGGGATAGGAGCATGTGGGAGATACTGAGAAGCAAACTTCAAGCTCAGAGCACGTGTGCAGGCCAAAGCTAGTACAGACAGTGTCTGAGTTTGCTACAGTATAGTATTTGTACTTTGTCTGTGACTTAACTCTTTTTGGTTAAGCATTGTGCTTTGGCATGGGAAGAGTGAGGGCACCAGAGCATGAATGTTGATGGGTGCTAACGCGCTGACGAGAACCAGGACTTGTTGCATATCCGTTCTACCAGCCTTAGGGAATCATAATTTTTTGGAGTGTAAACATTTTCATTTTTGATTTTTCTTTAACTCTTTCTTCATTTAGATTTAATTTTTATTAGTGTAAAAGATGCCACTGTTCACAGATATTGTGGTTTTCACTGTGCCTATGGGGAGGCAATGTGCCCTCCCAACTAAGGGCACAGATGGGATTCTTTCTGGGACACTGGGCTCCCATTCTAAATAATACAAAGATAATGATGAACATTCTAATGCAGAACCAGAACTCAGCCTGGAATTGTGGAGAGCTGCCATTATGGACTTACTGGGTCCTTCCAGGGCTCTCTATTGACTAAGCCTAATATTCTACCACCTAATACAGTGAACTGTCTACAGGGTCTAACTGCTGTATCACAAAGCAGGGTGAATTTGGAGTTCAGAAACAGTAGATGGAAAACTGGCACAGCTGGTCCCTGAAAAATGACTTATTTCAAGATCTTAAATGACATTTTAGAAATTCATTTGGCATTTTTATTAAATTGCAAGAAGATATGAGCTCTGTAAATCAAGAGCAGAAACCTTTAAAAGGAGAATATAAATCAAAAAGACAAGTGGATAAGCAGAAATTAAAGATGAGTGAAATGAAATAAAATTATTCCAAAGAAGTTAAGATTGCAATAGGGTAATGAAAATAAGCATTGGTGGTATGTGTGTACAATAAAACTTTTCCTGTAAAACAGGAGCTGTAAAAATAGGTAACTAAATTTGAGAGGTAAATATAGCAAGAAACGTAAAGCAAAGGAAAATGATTGCAGAAGTCATTAGGATATTATAGAGTTGGCAGACAGACCAGGGAGATATACTTAAAGAATTTAGGTAATCCTGAAAAAGAAAATTGATTAATTAGGACAGATGTCAAAATGAAAGACAAATCCAAAGAAGAAACAGTACTGAATCAAAACACAATTATGTTCCCAAACTGAAAGAACTCACCATGTTCCAGTAAGTTGATAAAAAAAAGAAAAACAGACAAAAAATTCAACCTTTAAAAAATTCTAGCAAAAATTTGAATTATGTAAATAAAGAGAAAATCATATATACATCTTGGGCAAAGAAATAACATTACTAATAAATTCCTCAAATCAGAATTGTATGCAAGGATAAATCTGAAAAATCAATGTACTAGATGTTACTTCTCTTCACCATGGATTCCCCAAGTCTAGTTTGGTGCCCTTTAGATGTGCACATGGCATTTTGAACTTCTCCTATTATATAATGCTTATTCTATCATGTTACATTAACATATTTACTTGTCTCCCTCTGCTAGACCATAAGATATGTCTCCAAAGAAATGTTTAAAGTGCTGAAATTATAAGATGATAAGATAAAATGACTTTGTCTAAAATTTAATCTTTGAGACAAAGAGCAGTTGAAGAAAACTCATACCCAACTTCTCTCTACCTCCAAAAGACAGGGAAAACACATTTTCTTTCTAATTCACATAGCATTATGGTTTCTGGATGATCATATATTCTCATAAATGCAGGAAGCAATTTTAATGTTTATGTTCACTGATGTTTCCCAAGTGACTAAACTAGAATAGTACAAAGCATATAACAGATACATGATTAATACATGTTTAATGGAAGCAGAAACATTAGAATTAAAATTTTAAGGTATTTCCCATAAAGTTGTGTTAATGGTTGCTGTTTTTATCCCCTCCATAGGCTTGTAACTGTAGCACAGTGGGATCCTTGGATTTCCAATGCAATGTAAATACAGGCCAATGCAACTGTCACCCAAAATTCTCGGGTGCAAAATGTACAGAGTGCAATCGAGGTCATTGGAACTACCCTCGCTGCAATCTCTGTGACTGCTTCCTCCCTGGAACAGATGCTACCACCTGTGATTTAGAGACTAAAAAATGCTCCTGTAGTGATCAAACTGGACAGTGCACTTGTAAGGTATGTGTTGCTGAGGGAAATAAGGAAAACCTCTCTCAATTCTGTTTCCGTTGCTCAGTTTTAACTTCATTCAGTGTTTGTTACACCTGATTCATTAAGCTAAACAAACAGACGGACAAAATCTCATTGCTAAACACAGAGTTTTCATTAATATGCATTTGTTGGCATACAGATAAATACTACTTTTCTAGACCTTATTTTCAACCTAAACCCAACTTTTTATCTAGTTGGCAGAGATGATATATTTCCAACGGTAAAGTGAAACATATATACATATATATACACATATATATGCACATACACATACACACACATACACACACACACACACACATAAGCTTTGCTTCGGTAAGGACAATCTATCTGGGAGGGGTGGCAGGGAAGACAGTTCTTTTAAGCATCATCAGAGAAAATCGCAGCTTAATAATAAGGCTTATAAAAACCATTTCTCCAAAAGTTAATCTGCAATCGCTGTGTACTAGAAAACATATTTACTGCTGTGGAAGTTTAGTAAAATTCCAACACGTATAAACACTGTCATTACAAACAGTGACTATGTGTAAATTTCAGCCCTCATTAATATGGTTAAATGATGTAGAAAAAGAGCCAATTAAAAAGGATAAAAAGGATTTTTCCCTCAGATAGTTCTGAAAAATCAGTTCCAGGATAAATGCAGTTTAAACCATGTCAGATGTATCTTTTCAAGATAAAGTCTATGCAAAGAGGGACAGAGGAAACAGGAGGATACCACCTGGGGAGTGGTTGTTAAAATAGCCTTGAGAATTGAGGAAAATGGCAGTTCCTACCATCAAAGGCTTCAGCCAACACAGAGTACAATGCTGCATTATTACATCTTGTAATTATGATCATATATTTAATACGTGTTATATATGTATACATATTATAATAATTATATAAATGGATATTTTAACCTGCATCCTATTTCTTACAGCTTTCAATAGCACCGTTATGTTGCTTTTGAAATTTTCATGAGTCTTTCACATTGCTCAGAGCAGAATTGTAGGAAATGTGCCACTTACACTGAAAAAAAAAAAAGTACAATACCCTTAGTATTATATCTATTTATAAATAAGCAATTTTTGAAAGACCCATGAACTCCTAACAATGAGGTTAACTACATGTGCTATTTGAGATGTGAGTCTAATACTCAGTGTTCTTTTGTTTTAAATTTTCTAAAAAGAGTGTGCGTTCCTATTATTCATTCTCGAAGGCGATTTCCCCCATAACTTTGCTGTTATAAACTCAGGGTCTCTTGTCTTTCTTCAGGTAAATGTGGAAGGCGTCCACTGTGACAGATGCCGACCTGGCAAATTCGGACTCGATGCCAAGAATCCACTTGGCTGCAGCAGCTGCTATTGCTTCGGTACTACTACTCAGTGCTCTGAAGCAGAAGGGCTGATCCGGACGCGGGTGAGTAGGAGACTGCTGAGCCATGTAATGGTATAATGTTCATTCCCGCTGGCGTCTTTTAGTCAGGCACTGAGGGGTAGTAGGAAATGGCAAAACATTTAAGTAACCTTTTCCTCTGTGCACATTTAGGAACGGCAAAGGGTCCACGTGCCGTTAGACAGTTGGAGTACATGCCTTTCTCATTTGTTCTTAAAAGTAGCTCATTTACTGTTGACAAGGAAATATAGCAAGTGAAAAAGAGGCAGCTTGTCAGGGAAGCATCGTGCTTTGGGATGGGAAGAGTGAGGGCACCAGGGCATGAACGCTGATGGGCGCTAACGCGCTGCGGAGAACCAGGGCTTGCAGCACATTCCTTCCAACCAACCTTAGGCAATCATGATTTTTGGAGTGGAAACATGTTTATTTTTTATTTCCTTTAACTCTTTCTACATTTAGATTCCATTTTTATTAGTGTAAAAGACTCCACTCTCCACAGATGAGGTGGTTTTCACTGCGTGAGTTAGTCAAAAGATTTATGTCCTGCCATGCTTGCCCACTACGTGTGAGTTCTGCCGCTTGTGAGAATGGGGAGAGGGACTGCAGAGAGACATGCAGTTCATAACTTAGTTTTAAAGAAATGTCCAAAAGCGTAAAGTTAGCCTTCTGCTGTCTTTTGGCCCCTTACAGGTGACTCTGAAGGCTGAGCAGACCATTCTACCCCTAGTAGACGAGGCTCTGCAGCACACGACCACCAAGGGCATTGCTTTTCAACATCCAGAGATTATTGCTGACATGGACCTGGTAAGGCAAGATCTCCATTTGGAACCGTTTTATTGGAAACTTCCAGAACAATTTGAAGGAAAGAAGGTAAGCACAAGAACTTTGATGTCAAGCAAGAGCAAGATAAAATCTTGTTTTTACAATCACACCATTTAGAGATTTATCCAATTCCTCATTCTTCTTTTTATTTTGTCAGTTGACAGCCTATGGGGGCAAACTCAAGTATGCAATCTATTTCGAGGCTCGAGAAGAAACGGGTTTCTCTAGATATAATCCTCAAGTGATCATTCGAGGTGGGACACCTACTCATGCTAGAATTATCGTCAGACATATAGCTGCTCCTCTGATTGGCCAATTGACAAGGCATGAAATTGAAATGACAGAGGTAAAGCTTTTCATTGTTTGGGGCAAAGATGCCCATGGTTTTGCATTCAGTTTTGTCGGAGTGATTTCCCTTCTCGTTAACAGAAAGAATGGAAATATTATGGGGATGATCCTCGAGTACATAGAACTGTGACCCGAGAAGATTTCTTGGATATACTGTATGATATTCATTACATTCTTATCAAGGCTACTTACGGAAATATCATGCGACAAAGCAGGTAAACCATAATATAAAATATTCAAACTTTTATACCCAAAGGATTATAAATCATTCTATTGTAAAGACATGTGCACATGTGTGTTTATTGCAGCACTGTTCACAATAGCAAAGACTTGAAACCAACCCAAATGCTCATCAATGATAGAATGGATAAAGAAAATGTGGTACATAGACACCATGGAATACCATGCAGCCATAAAAAGGATTAGTTTATGTCCTTTGCAGGAACATGGATAAAGCTGGAAAACCTCATTCTCAGCAAACTGACACAAGAACAGAAAACCAAACACCGCATGTTCTCACTCATAAGTGGGTGTTGAACAGTAAGAACACATGGACACAGGGAGGGGAACATCACACAGTGGGGTCTGTCAGAGGGTGGGGGGCTAGGGGACAGTTAGCAGGGAGTGGGGATATAGGGGAGGGAGGGATAGCATTAGGAAAATATCTAATGTAGATGACAGTGAGGGATGCAGCAAACCACTATGGCATGGGTATACCTATGTAAGAAACCTGCATGTTCTGCACTTGTACCCCAGAACTTAAAGTATAATTTAAAAAAATTCAAGCTCTTATTCTAGAGTCTACAGGGAAGGTTATTGACCTATAGCTATCAGATAAGGAAGATTGGGAAGTGGCTGGTTTTGGAGTATGGTGATAGAAGACAAACCACAGGCTCCCTCCATGTGACTTGGAAGAAGTTACTGACATTCCTCAGAAAAGAAAAATAGCATGAGAAGCAAGTTTAAGGGGGAAAAATGAAATTCACTGCAGACATAGTGAGTTTAAGGTGCTAGTCATAAATTCAGGAGATCATGTACTATAGGTCAGGTAAAATTAACTGTTGTGCTATAAATGGATTATAAGAGTGCTGAGAAAGTGACCATCTTCACCCATCAGGGAAACCAGGGAGAGCCAATTTGGTCCAGTCTCCTCCAGTCATGAGCATTCTCGTCTGTTCGCCCCAGTGTGCCGTATGATGTTGTCACTTTCCCTATGCCTCATGATGAGAAATGATTCTGAATCACATTGAGAAAAACACAGAACAGCAAGAACAAATGCAGTGTTGTTGAACCTAAACGATGGGAATACTTCAAGGGAGTATTCTGCGTTTTCTTATGACTCAAATTGGCCAATTAAAATAAGGCTTGATGGGTCTGAAACTTAGGACCACACTGGTAACGTTCATGATACCGGTTTTAGTGGAGTCCTGGGGCAGAAATAATCTCAAACTTTTAAAGAAAGAATGTGACACATGAGCCCTATATTATGAGTGTAAACTGTTATTTTCCATGAATATAATCATAGAAAGAAGGAATAACATACTGTCAAAAGTAAAGAGATAATTGTTTAATTTGAAAGAATATGTTTATAGACCATGGGGAAGGATTAGTAATGAAGAAAATATTAAAATATAAATAAAGAGAGAATAACTAATAGAGGAACCCAGAGACTTCCACATCATGACCCCTCATGATCATGGTCCTTGAGTGGAAGGTTCACCTTATTCAATGGGATAAAATGAGAAATCACACAGATGTAGGTAAGTTTCATACCACAGGCTGAGTTCATATACAAGATCTCAATTTCTCTTACATTTCAGTTTCTGTAATGTTCTATAAGAAAATAGAATCAATATATGTTTGTAAATAGTCTTATATAATAGATTATTAGACCTGCCTAGGAAAACAAAACAAAAACATTATGAAGTCTCTCGTTGGCCAACTAATGAATATAAAAATACCATTTTGCAAGTGTTTATACTGTAACAAGCACACAAGACAGCAGAAAATCTTTTATTTCATGCAGCAGATCCATAATACTTTTCTGATTGATGTAGGGACTTTTAGTAAAAGAGTAAATCAAGGACCAAAATTCACTTTCATATCTGTATTCCTTTGGTTTTCTTTTGATATTTCTCACTGTAAATGGAGATTCTTTTTATATGAAATAATTTTTTAAAAAGCATATATGTAAAAAACACTGTCAGCTATACTGTTAATTATTTTAGAATATCAAATGTAAATTATGTGCCAGAAGCCATAGCAGATTTACATGTCTCAGAAAATAGCAGGTAATTTCATGAGTTTGCAAATAGATTATTTTGCAAATTGTTCTGTACTGCAGTGAAAGGGTTTGGTAGTAAATAGAACATCTTGTTAGTGGAACTGATGGAAACAACGTTGTCATGCACCTTTAATTATACTTTCTTTGCCTCTCTCACACCAATTTCACCTTCCTACAGTGTGACACTTTGTCTTTTTTCGCCCTATGTCTAGCTTTTTCTTTTATCACACTGTTTTACATACCTCACTAAATGAAATTCTTTGGTTTAAGTGACCATTTTTTTTTGAAACTTTAGAACACATTTTTTCTAATCTCAGTAAAAATTAGGTTAATAGTCTCACAATGGCAAGAACAAATAAGGCATGTCATCAGTATTTGATTTTGTAAGGCAGCGGAATGGTGGCAAAGTTTTTTGAAAGGTTTCAATAGTCCCCCTAAAGTAATTAACCCTGTGTCTTTATTTATTCAATTATAAATTTTAATCTCAACAGGAGAGAGTTTAAGAGTTAATATGTGGTTTGAGATTTGAACTTGGTACATTGTATCAGTGCTGGCATTATCTTTTTCTTCTTTGCTGTTCTTTTCTTTTATAAAGTTTATTTTAAGGAAATAGCAACTTTCACAAATCAATATTTATTTAAATGGAGGCTGGAGTTTGGCCAAATCCCTGATGCAATCAAAGCCATTGCTCTCTAATCCCCTGGAAAAAAAAAATGATGTATTGCAAAAATATTTGTTATTGCTGCCATTCAAGCTTCACTTGATTTGTAAACACTTGCTGGTCTGTTATGTGCATTCATGTGCAAGAGAAAGGAGAATGACGCCAGTAGCTCCTCAGGCTAGGAAAGTCCATGGAGATGCCAATGCAAAGACTCTTCCACAAACACCACTTTACCTTCTTACTCCTCAGAGAGTCCAGAGAACATAAGGGAGAAGTCTTTCTTGCAGGAGGGTAGTAGTTTGTTTACAGCTCACCACCACTGTGTATACTATAAGGAGCAGAGAGTGAAGCCTGAATTTTAATCGAATGTGTGTTTCATCAAGACCAGTCTTTAGAGTGCATATTACAATGCTACCAAAGCCAGAACATGCATTCATAATTCAGTTTCAGTAACACCTACCTGTGCTCGTTATAAAGTTTATGATTCAAATCCTTAAGCTACTGGAGGTAACTTTTATTCAAACAAAACCATTCATTGTCTCATTTTAAAATTTATTTGCAAAACATGGTTGTGTTACCAGTTAGTCCATGAAATAGTCCCAGTTTGTGGACTACATATATTTTTAATGTATACTTTCAAATTAATAAAAAGGGATATTAATATGTTATTTTCAATTATGATTTTCTTTTCAATTATAAGGACTTTTTCACCAACAGAAAAAGTGAGTTAAATTACTTGAAGGAATTATTTAAGAAAATATTATTTTGGAGCATTCTTTATCCTCAGAAAGAAATCAATGTATTAGATTATGTACGATCATTATTTTCTAGGTGGTTTTTTAAAATTCTTGCAAGGACATTCAGAAGATTGGGAAGAAAAATTGGGGACAGTAGTAAATTAAAAGCAATTTCACCAGTGCCTATGAGAGATAATCCAATGGGGAATGACCTTGGGTTGTCTGTTTGCAAGAATATAAATGTCTAATTAACTGGCCTTGTCTACCTGAAGCTACTCACATTTTAAAAAGTGGGGAAAAACTCTTTTTAATAACTTCTCAATATGATTTCAGACATCCAGTTTACTAAACTTCTTATGATTTATAAGAATATTTTGCTAATATGGAATCTGAACATTTGAGGGAGCAAAAATGCAATATTAAGATAGTGGCATATAAGCCCTGGAAATTTAAACAGCTTCAAAATGATGTTAATTATCTTGATTTAATCATCCCACAACTTATCTGTATATCAACATATTATATTGTTTCAATAAATATAGTTGAACCCTTGAACAACATGGGGGTTAGGAGCATTAACCCCACCTTGTGCAGTCAGAAATCTACATGTAACGTTTGATACCTTTAAAACTTTACTAATAGCCTCTTCTTAACCAGAAGTCATAATGATAACATAGTTGATTAACATATTTATGTAGGTATTATATACTGTATTCTTATCATAAAGTAAGCTAAAGAAAAGAAAATGCTATTAGGAAAATAACAAGTGCTGGGTGCAGTGGCTCACGCCTGTAGTTCCAGCACTTTGGGAAGCCAAAGCAAGTGGGTCACTTGAGGTTAACAGTTCAAGACCAGCCTAGCCAACATGATGAAACCCTGTTTCTAATAAGAATACAAGAATTAGCTGGGCGTGGTGGTGCACACCTGTAATCCCAGCTACTCAGGAGGCTGAGGCAAGAGAATCACTTGAAGCTGGTAGGCAGGGTTGCAGTGAACCAAGAATCATGCCACTACACTCCAGCCTGGGTGACAGAATAAGACTCTGTCTCAAAAAAACGTAAAAAAATAAAAAAAGAATAATAAGAAGAGAAAATATATTAAGTGGAGGTGGAGTATCATAAAGGTCTTTATCCTCATTGTCTTCATGTTGAGCAGACAAAAGAGGAGGAGGAAGAAGAGGAAGGGTTGGTCCTGCTGTCTTAGAGGGTAGCAGACGTGGAAGAGAATCCACATATTAGTAAACCTATGCAGTTCAAACCCATGTTGTTCAAGGGTCAACTTATGTACAATTATTATTTGCCAATTAAAAGCACAATAGAACATACTGGAGGTTAACAAAAACCTGAGACGGATATTGCTGTCGGGTTGAGTGTTTACTAGGTGACCTTAGCTGACTGTCATGGTAGTCTAAGTATATTCTTGCTGTTTCCAGGATTTCTGAAATCTCAATGGAGGTAGCTGAACAAGGACGAAGAACAGCAGCGACTCCTCCAGCTCACTTGATTGAAAAATGTGATTGTCCCCTAGGCTATTCCGGCTTGTCCTGTGAGGTAAGCTAGCTCCTACTAACCTGCTTAACCTCAACTCACTTCAGGAGCTAAATGGAAATACTCCCAGAAGTACCTTTGCTACATATATATTAACCTAATTTATTTAATCTTTCACTCACAGTATGAGACACAGTAGCAAGAGGATAATGTTATTGATCCTTAGTACAAATCACACCTGAAGGGAAATGATTGATAAAAAAATTTAAAGATTTGTGAAAAAAAAATTAACAGTCAGGAATTAAGAATGGTTTTATAAGCCCATTTATTACGACTGATCTATTTTCTCAGATCACTTCTGAAGAGTTAGAGACATTTAAACTGCAGTGATTATAAGATAGGATTATACTGGGTTTTGAAACATTCTTATGTAGAACATGACAAAACTTGTACACTAAATAGCAGGCTGTTCCCTTAAACATAAGCTTCTCAGAAGGACATATATTTATTACAACAGTGCTATCAGTCATTACATTTGTAAAACTTTTTGGTTTTATTTTTGCATTTTAAAAGTAATTTTAAAACTGCATTTTAATAAACTTTTTGGGATATTCACTGTCTGCCTTCAGAATTGTCAGATTTCTTAGAATCTTCATCTTCTGAAAGTTGATTGAATTTCTATAATTATGAAATGTTAATAGTAACAGTACGATTTAAGGGAGGATAGAATGCATGGATGAGAAACTTGCCTGGGTTTGAATCTCACCTTTACCATCTAGTGAGGCTAATACCCTGCACAGGGTGCTACACCTCTTTATGCTTCAGCGGGTAAACACCAATTCCCTGAGTAACTGGCACCATCCTTTCACCTATCCCACAGACCCCACAGTCTGAAGCCTGCCATGCGTGGGCCCTCCAGGACTGCTCTAGCCCTACAGCTGGGATTCTTTCTCCTTAGTCAGACTGGATGGTGCCCACAGCATACCAGTTAGATATTATTAATATCTCCCTAACCTACAGCCTAACAGTCTTATGAAGACTAAATGAGCTATGAATGTTAAGGATTCATAATAGTGCCTGGCATGTAGTGGATGTAAGTTTCAATGGTTATTATTAATGTAATAACTAGTTATATACCCATATATTGATTCAATCATAAATGATTTTATACATCTTATTTTGTAAATAGGATTTGAAAAGTTTTATTAAGTATGATACATGAAACAGATAACACTAGGTCAAAACTGAAGTGAAACTTAAAAATAATGAGTATAAATTTCCTGAGAGGGACATGGCATCATGAAAAGAAAAAGGAATTTGGTTTCAGTGAATCTTACCTAGCTGCACTACTTGGACAGGGTACTTGCTCTGTTTTGACAAATCTTGGGTTTTTACCTATACATTGTAAGGATTTATTTAAATGGAAACATTTTTTTAAAAACCCATTATAAACTGACATGCCATTCAGCTTAGTTACCATCACATGGATTTCGCATTGTTCAAGGAAAAAAATTATAGAATAACTGCAACTACTTTGTGACATATGCTTAGAATAATTTTCTAGCCTTTCTTGTGACTTCTCTGAAGGGCAATGTTTATTTACATGTGTCCATTTTGAGCTAATAAATAATTAAGTGATCCATCTCCTTATTAAATCATAACTCCTACATACTTCTATTTATACACACACCAGTAAGCTTATATGCACCGCTCTTTCCAATATACATAGGTACATATCAAGTATGGGTGAAAAATGAGACCGTGTGGCACATCTAAAATGGGCGACCTTTCCAGTGAGCATTGAAGATTTTAAAATAGAGGACAGAAAGAATGTGAGATTTTTCTAGGCAAGAGATGGAATTTCCTTTATCCCAAGGAGTGTTTGGTTGTACTTTTAACTCTGTGCACTTGGTCAATGTTCTTAATTGCTGTAGGGCTTAGTTATTATATAGCTATCAAACCTATGAAAGAACAGATTGAGTTGAAGTTCTAAAATTCTCTGATTCTACAATATTATTTTGCTGTAGAAATATTCAGTAAGTAATCAAGTTTGACCTTTAGATATCTTGAAGAGAAGGTTATTACAGCTATATTTTTTCTGCATTTATTTCAAATAATACTGTTCACTTGCGAACAAAAAATGTTAATAGAATAGCAAATTATTTTAATGCAACTGACCTTCCATTGCACATTTTAAATGTTAAAAACTTTTCTTCTTATGATTGATAGACTTTTTGAATAGTACATTCAAATACATGCTTTCCCATTCATTTTAGTCGGGTTCCATCATTATATAAAAATATAAATTAGCGCAAATAAAACAAATGATAAATGAAAATTAAAAAAACTAAGAATATGTACAAATTGTCATCTGCATTACTGGCTTTACCTATGTCCCATTATTTTCGCTTAAGCATCTATTTACAGACAGTAATTACAATAATACCTTAGTAGAGAGATTACAGAAATAAAGGCCTATCTCTCATAATAAGGTATCTGAGGTGTCCTCCACAACCCATTGCCTCTAATCCATTATACATCTTATTTATAATTCATCTTCATTCCTAAGTGTAATTACCCAGGCATAAAATTTTATCATCAAAGCAAGAGCTAAGGACAGTTTTGAAATAATACATCCCATTCAAGTAACATGTGCTTTGGGTCATGAATACACAAAGCAATTTTTCTACAATATTTTTACAAAACATATGATATTCTAGAGACAACTGCATCTACAGGCTATTTTATTTCATGCTTTTATCCACAGTATGACTGCAAGTAAACAAAATTAAATATTAGTTACTACTAAAATGTAGCCAGTTGTAAAGACACTTAGCCTTTGCCTGCTACCTGCACTGTAATGACACTGTGGCCCTGGTGATTAAAAACTCTAGTTCTAGAAATACCTGATGATTATCATTTACTATTTGCAGAAGGGGACAGAGTACCTTCAGGAGTCAAACAAAGGACACCATTTCCTCACCCAATTTCTCAGTGTTGGAGCCATTGAGTCTGTTATACTTTATTTAACCTGTCTTGAAGTTACATTAGATGTAGGTTTTTGCCCAAACTGACTTAAACTACACTATATGCAGTTAAAAGATTGTATGCAGATACCATTCTTATTTACAACTTTCTTTTTTAAAAGTGGAAAATATTCAGCATCGTATATGCAGCTCTCTGCAGTAACATGGAAATCAGAAATTTGTCAACGATCTCCAGGTCACGTTTTGATAGTTTCAGCCTCTATCCGCTCTTCCCACATTTTAATAGGGCTTCAGGCTCACAGCTGAATGGCTGGTTTCTATTGGGTTACCACTCAGAAGCTGTCCCTTATGGCTACTAAAACTGATTTTTTAAAATCTCCAAATAATTTTTACCTATTATCAACTCATAATACTCAAAAGGCAAAATGCAAAAAAAAAAAGGCTTACTTACTTACACATGCACACATCCATCCTTTATCACTTCTGTTGTACACGGGAGACCCAAAGTCTGTTTTCATGTACAGACAAGTGTTAAGGAACATAACATGGGTAAGTTATATATAATTTGTTTACAAATACAACTTAAAATAATCATGGTGTCTTAATTTTTAGTTTATTCCCAGCAATTACATCTAAAAAACTATTTGAAATACAGAAACCTATTGATTTATGTATGTATTAAACATACTTTATTCATTTAATCCTCAGAACAACTGTATAAAAAACCTAACTTACCATTGATTGAGTGCTTACTCTCTCTGGTACCATCCCAACCACATTTTCTAATAGTTACACCAACATCATCGACTATAATTTATGATCCCCATCTTAGGGGTGAGGAAATTGAGGTTCATGATCACACACCTACAGAGCGGTTCAAACCTTAATATGTCTGTTTCCAAAACCTAAGTAAACTTGTACTCAACTATTATGTTTTGCAGTCATGTGATGCTTAACGACAGGGATACATTCTGAGAAATGTGTAATTAGGTGATTTCTTCATTATGCAAACATCATAGAGTGTTCACACACACACCTAAATGGTACAACCTACTAGGCTTGTAGGTTGTACAAGCCTAGGCTACATGAGATAGCCTATTGCTCCTAAGCTACAAACCTGCACAACACGTTACTGGTACAGTACTGAATACAGTAGGCAGTTGTAACATAATGCTAAGTATTTGTGTATTTTAACAAAACAAGGTACAATAAAAATATCATTTTATAATCATATGGGACCGCTGTTGTATATGTTGTCCTATCATTGACCAGAATGTCATTTTGCAGCAGCACATGACTATACAATATTCCTACATTCCAGGTGAGGAAACTGAGGCACACAATATTCAGAACCTTACAACATACAAAGTGATGGAACATGAATTAAACTCAGGTTTGCCTGATTGTGAAATCCATGCAAAGATACAAGATAGAATGTTTTTATGAGCTTCAGCACAAGTGTCTATTTTTATTATCAAACACTGAAGAAAGAAAGGAATGCGGTGTGCACCCCTGAACCTGGGATATGTTGGGTTTCTACTATCTTTGTTTCATTCTCTCCTCTCTACCCTCCCACATTTTTGTGTAAATTTGATCTAATGTTTTAATGAAACAATATATTATGAAAATAAAGAGGAGAGCAGAAGAAATTTGAAACATGAATAATTTCAACACTGGGGAAGAGAACTTTGGAAAAGTTTAATTAAAGTAGAAATGGATAAGAGGAACTCAGGAAAGTATTTATTTCCTTTTTTTAAATTCACCATTGTATTTCAGAAAGAATTTTAGATGGAACTCAAAAAGTAACTTTTTTCTTCCAATTCAAACATAATCATTCTCATGAACTTTGTCTCAGTTTGCCAAGAGGAAAAACTTTCAATATTGAAAACCATCCTAAATTTTTTTTAATTGAAAGAATAGTACAAAATGATCAAGGAAAAGAGAATTTCTGTGTTTTTTTTAACCTGTTTTAAGTTTCTAATTTTTGCATTGTCAAATATTCTCTCTCTCTCTCTCTGTCTCTCTGTCTCTCTCTCTCTCTCTCTTTTTTTCTCTCTCTCTCTCCTTTTTTTCCTACCTCATAGAAATGCAATCCATCAGGACACAAAATTAATCAAAACTAATCTAAAATGTTAGAATTGAAAGACATTTTAGAAGTCATCTGAGTTAACACACCTGCTCATTGGTGGGATGAGGAAACTGTCTCAAAGTAACTTGCCTATATCTCTCAGACAAAACTAACATAAAATCAAAGCTTTCATATTCATTCCTTTTATAGTACCAAAGAGTCTGTATACCCTTTCTTTCTTTCTTTCTTTTTTTTTTTTTTTTGAGACAGAGCCTTATTCTGTCACCCAGGCTGGAGTCCAGTGGCTGGATCTCAGTTCGCTGCAACCTCCACCTCCTAGATTCAAGCGATTCTTGGGCCTCAGCCTCCAGAGTAGTTGGGATTACAGATGCACATCACCATGCCTGGCTGATTTTTGAATTTTTAGTCCAGATGTGCTTTCACCATGTTGGCCAGGGTGGTCTCAAACTCCGTACCTCAACTGATTCACCCACCTCAGCCTCCCAAAATTCTGGGATTACAGACGTGAGCCGCTACGTCCTGCCTTGTCCATATGCCCTCATGCACAGCTGAGAATAAGGAGCTTGTAGGTGATGTTGCGCCCTAATTGTTAGACTCTCCTAAGAGTTTTAAAACAAACCCAGGCCTCAACTTTCCCTGAAAGGAATTGATTCCACCTCCTCTAGAGATAGACTGGACCACAGACTTCCACGGGTGTTTTTCTATTGTGTCAGGCTGCCTGTCCAGGTAAAAGTCACAGTAATTAGAAAAATGTGTTATGCATTAGAGTAGACTTCACCTTAGTGCCCACCTTCACGTATGGGTCTACAACACTAACCTTTCTATGATTCCTCAGTGAAGACTATTGCTTCCTTTTTTTTTTTTTTTTTTTTTTTTTTTTTTTTTTTTTTTTGAGACAGGTCTCCTTCCATTGCCCAGGCTGGAGTGCAATGGTGTGATCTCAGTTCACTGCAACCTCTGCCTTCCCACTTCAAGCGATTTTCCTGCTTCAGCCTCCTGAGTACCTGTGATTATAGGCAGCTACCGCCACACCCAGCTAATTTTGTATTTTTAGTAGAGATGAGGTTTCACCAGGTTGGCCAGGCTGGTCTTGAACTCCTGATCTCAGGCCAAATCCACCGGCTTCGGCCTCCCAAACAGCTTGGATTACAGGCATGAGCCACCTCACCTGCCCAACTATTGCTTTTTATCTTTCTTTTTCTTCTAAGACTTATTTTAAACTTTTGCTTGGCTAGAAACTTCCTCTCAAGGTGTTAGAGTTTTTCACTTTTCACACACACACACACACACACACACACACACACGCACACACACACACATGTACCTATAGTACGTCAATAATATAGCAGTAATTATATAAGTATTGAAGGATGAAATCCATGCACAGAAAATTCAGTTTTATTCAATGGTCAGCTTGCTAAAGAATTGGAATAACCCATACTATGAACCACTTTTAAATATATCTTGGTTTGTTTCTTCAGTTATGCCTCAATGAATTCCTTGACCATCATTTCCAGAACTTATTCAGTAATAATTGCAAAAATGAACCTTGCTTTTAAATAATATGTATAAACTTCATTAAATGATATGATTACATCCACCATAAAACAAATAAGACTCAAAATATTTTGAATACTATTCTCAGTTTTCTTTATCAGCTCACTCGAATTTGGGGCATTATTAAATCTCATTAGAATTTCTTTTAGGCTATGATAAAACCAGAGAGTCTCTTGATTAAGTGCTTAATTGAGGTACTTCTGCATTATCCAAATCAAAATAAACAAGGAGAGTGCTGGCTCTTAAGCTAGATCGTTTTATAAGGAGCCTCTTTGTATATTCCTCTCTGGACTGCCTAGGCCAGAACCAAAGGGATTTGGAGGCACTAGAAAGTTCTGAGTCTGATATTTTTTCCTGCTTAGTCAGCAGTCACTTTCGTTTCATCAATGGGCATAAGATTTTTCAGTGAACAAAAAAAAAATCCTACTTAACCAAGGTGGTAAAATAATCCCCTTATAATCTTCCCTGGGATTTGAAAAACTGACTCCTACATTTTATTCATAAATCAAGCAATGTCTGCAGCTATATATGAAGAAAGGGCAGAACCTGAAACAAAAGACCATCTTCATCCTCATTCCACAACAGTGGCCTACGTTTCAGAAAGCCAGGGATGTTCGTTGATACATTTTCATAATAAACCCAAATGAAGATGGAAGTCTTGATTTTGCATGTGTCAGCTTCACTAGAAGTTTTCTGTTTGCTTTCAGATTTTTATTGCAAAATGAAAAAAATTATATCAGGGAAAGATAAATTTTAATGGTGGTGTATAGTCCCAAGACATATAGAGCTTTTGTTATTTTGAATTTCTTACTGTTATAGTCTTTAAATTATATCAGTATAAACAATGCATCTGTAACACTTCTTATTTAATTTTTTTGCTGTGTTTCATTGAACATTTACTTGTTATCCATCAAGCACTATAAAAGTAGATTTTAGGTGTTAAGGATATTGGAATTCTCTTTAGTCCATATGACAATGTTATTTGAAAACAAACTTCTTTTCTCAAGAAAAAGACTCTTCTGAACTTTTTCAGGCTGAGTTGTATCTACAGATAAAAGTTTTCCTTGGCTGAAGTCTGATTACACATGGATGCCACCTGAACACCTTAGAGACCAGAAAGAAATACACAATAGATATCAACATGGGCACCTGTTTTTGTAAGCAATGTTGCCCATGCCGTAGGTATGGGAAGGCCAGTCTGCCTTTTTAGCCACTGTAGAGCTCAAGCGTTGCTAATGCAAGGTTTCTAATTTGGCTGTCCTAATTGACTTCCTTTTCTTTCAGGCATGCTTGCCAGGATTTTATCGACTGCGTTCTGAACCAGGTGGCCGCAGCCCTGGACTGACCCTGGGCACCTGTGTTCCATGTCAGTGTAATGGACACAGCAGCCTGTGTGACCCTGAAACATCGATATGCCAGGTAGTCCTCTGAGCGTTTCTTGAACAAGGTCCACGTGCTCATTTCTCTTTATACATGCTCAGAATTCCAATGCAGAGGCCGGCTAAACTGCAAGGGAACACACCGTGCGTGTGAAATAAAATATGCAAGGGAAACATATTCACAGATTCTACATTTTAAAAGGCAATGAAAAAATAAGTGGGAAAACCACTGCTCATGTCAAGAAATAGAATCTTCACAGCGTCTTACAAGAGCACCAGAAGACACACCTATTTAAAAATTACACGAACCTTTTTTTTCTGATTATTTTCCTATAAATAAACTTTTTATAAGAAATTTGGGAATTACAGGAAAGAATCAAGAAAACAAAGTCACCCCAAATGCAACATAAGATAAAAATTTAGTATTTTAAGTATTTCCTACCAATTTTTACATGTGTTTATGAATAAGATTTATATAACACCATTAATGAAGTTTCATGTCTTTTACATTTTTACCTATCATGAGGTTGTATTATGTTGTTAGACATTACTTAAAATCTTTACAAATCTTTCATCGGCTGTCCCATAATTTACTCATTTCCCTTAGAATTGAGGCCGCTTCTATTTTTTTAATGTTCCTGCTAGCACCCTGGACACTCTACCACCACTATCTGCATTAGAACAAGCAGAAAATCATGCATTTCACCCTGTTTATTGTAGTCACTGTAAGACATTTAGGTCGCCCTTGTCACCACTTGTCCCCTAAACTGTAATCTGCCCACAGCTGTGGACATCTTTGTTAAGCCCATCTCCCTACTCTGCTCTTCTTCTGAAACCATTCCACTGAGCCTTGTGGAGCTCATGGTCAAAACAGACAAAAAATCTTCTGCAGAACCCTCCTCTTCCCTCAATGTTATTTTTTTATTTAGTCTTGCTCTGACTAAAACCCACTCTCACTCTGCATGCTCCTACCCCAGCAGCCCTCCTAAGCAATAGCCATCATTTTTTTTTTTTTTTTTTTTTTTTTTTTTTGAGATGCTGTCTCCCTCTGTCACCCAGGGTGGAGGGCAGTGGTGTGCTCTTTGTTCACTGCAACCTCCTAGGTTCAAACGATTCTTGTGCCTAAGCCTCCCCCATGCTGGGACTACAGGCTCAGGCCACCACACCTGGCTAATTTTTTGTATTTTTAGTAGGGATGGGGGTTTCACCATGCTGGCTAGGTTGGTCTCGAACTCCTGACCTCAGGTGATCCACCCGCCTTGGCCTCCCAAAATGCCGCTGCACCCAGCTGCAGTAGCCATCACTTTCTTTCACTCTCTTCACTCCCCTGAGTCTGAAGGTGGGACAGGTTTTCCTGCCCCTCACTGCCAGTTTCATATTATCCATCCTCCTCTACAGCAGAGTTCATAACCCTTGGGCCACAGGCCAGTACTGATCCACAGCCTTTTAGAAACCGGACCACGCAGCAGGAGGCGAGCGGCAGGTGAGGGAGCAAGCACGCTTCATTCGCGTTTACAGCTGCTCCCCACTCCTGGCATTCCTGTACTGCCTGAGCTCCACCTCCTGTCAGATCAGAGGCAGCTTTACATTCTCATAGGAGCGCGAACTCTATTGTGAACTGCGCATGTGGGGGAATCTAGGGTGCACTCTCCTTTTCAGAATCTAATGCCTAATGACCTGTCACTGTCTCCCATCACTCTCAGATGGGACTGTCTAGTTGCAGGCAAACAAGCTTAGGGCTCCCACTGATTCCACTTTATGGTGAGTAGTATAATTACTTCATTATATATTACAATATAATAATAATAGAAATAAAGTGCATAGTAAATGTAACTTGCTTCAATCATCACAAAACCATCCCCCAACCCCAGGCCGTGGAAAAATTGTCTTTCATGAAACCAGTCCCTGGTGCCAAAAGCATTGGAGACACTGCTCTACAGCACCCAGCTTTGACCCTCATGCTTCCCTCTCTGTGCTTGTTGAAGTCATCTGCTAACCTTTAGATTCCCCATCACACCCCTGCCGATTTTCTCTGTCTCATTGTCATTTTCCCTAGCACTACTCCGTCATAATCGTTAGTGATTTTAACGTCCATAAACTTAACTCTTCAATACTCTTAGCTTTCAGTTCCTCGTGCCTCTCTGGTCTCCATTTGATGGATCCTTTTTTTTTTTTTTTTTGTTTTTGTTTTTGTTTTTTTTTGTTTGTTTGTTTAAAACACCGTATCTTTTCTCTCTAGTTCGCTTCTTCTAAATACTTCAGCGTGTGTAATCTCACAATTGATGCACACACTTTTTCCTTGTTTCTTAGCTCATGCTTTCACTCTAGTAACCAGCTTAATAGTCATGATCCTTCATTAGTACTGCTGCTTTGCAATGATCATTTCCCTTGCTACTCCTTCACTTATTTTTTACTCACCTGAACTCCAACACCGTGAGAATCCTATTATCTCCTCCATCCCTGCACCTTCTAAGCTGAACGTGGCTGTAGAAAAAGACAATTGTTCTCTCTAATCTCACCTGAAACTTACGCTCACTCTCTTCAAATGGACCCTTTGTGTTGCTCTGCAGTCTTGCCACTTTTCTCTCATCCGTTTTCTTTTCCACATTCCTAGGTGATCGATTCATACCTTCCCCTCCATCCTCAAGCCTAAACCTTTCCTCTCAGCCCCTCCCATCATTATCCTCAGCTGATGGTGTTGCCTTTTATTTCGTTGAGAATTTAGAAGCTATTGGAAGAGAGGTAACACAAGCTCCCACTACTGTATATACTCATTTTTCTGCATCCGTGCCCAATTATTATGACTCTTTTTATTACTTTTGATGAACTATTCTTGTTTCCAGAAAAGATCACAGCTTCCTCGTATGTTCCACCCCTCTCCCGTTTGATGACATCAGTCTGGCTAATCTATCCTCCCTCTTTTATTGCCACTTTTTTTTTTTTTAACCTTAAAAGCAAAAACAAACTCTCTTGACCCACTCCCCTTCTAAGTAACCACATCATTCTTCTCCTTCCATACAGTGGAGAGCGTCTGTCCCGTCTGTAATTCCTCTTCATCCATTTCTCTGGAACTACTAAAAGCAGGCTATCACCTGTTCTTCTATACTGGAACTAATGGCTAATGTACAACCACCAGTGTTCACCTTACTAGATCTATCAGCAGTGTTTGCCATCGTAAATCACCCCATTCTTCTTGAAACCCTTTGTTCAATTTGCTTCCCAGGCCATGGCATTCTGACGATGTTTAAATTCAATGGCTGCTACTTTCAATTTTCTTCATTACTCTGAAATGTATATAGTGGTGTTCTTGGGACTCAATCCTTGGAGCAATGTGTTTCTCTAACTTCATTTATTCTGATGGTGATCTTACCCTGGCACATGGCTTTCTATACTGAGATATTTTGATATTGACATCCCATAGTATTTACTATTATGTTTATGATTTAATTTTAGATCCACTTATTACTATGGTATGAGGAGGTAATTTTTCTTCAAATATATATTACCACTGTAAAGAAACATATATTGATTAATATTTCCTTTTCCCGTTGAAACATTATTGTATTTGAACACATACAAATTTATTTCATTCGTATTAAGATATGTTTCAGGAGAATCCATTTTGTTTTACTTACCTTTTAGTTCTTATTACAATGTTCTGCCTACCTTCATTTTATATTATCATATCTGGTAAAACAAAGTCCTTTAGTTCTCTTCTCTTCTAATTAACTAAATGCTCTTGAATATTCTTCCAGCTGACCTTGTATTGATTATTTCAATCTCTTCCCCAAAAAATGTTACTGGAATTTTGATTGGAATTAAGTTAACCAATTTGTAAAGAATTGCTATATTTATACTAGTCACTCTTCTCCATTCAGACATTTTATGTCTTACAGTAAACTGTTTTAAAGTCATCTAATCAAGCATGTATTTCTTATATTAAAATTATTTCTATGATCTTACATTTAAAATAGTAAATGTACTAACTGGTCATTATCAGTAAACCTTAACTATTAGAATAGGTGTTTTTACATATATTTGATATCCAATAACTTTTATTTTAGTTCTAGATATTTATCAATTGATTCAGTTATTGTTATGTTTACAATTATTATTATTTTTTAAGAGGAATTCTCATTCTGTTGCCCAGGCTGGAGTGCAATGTCATGATTTCGGCTCACTGCAACCTCCACCTCCCGGTTTCAAGTGATTCTCTTGCCTCAGCCTCTCAAGTAGCTGGGATTACAGGCACTTGCCATCATGCCTGGAAAATTTTTGCATTTTAGTAGGGGCAGGGTTTCGCCATTTTAGCCAGGCTGGTCTCAAACTCGTGACCTCAAGTGATCTGCCTACTCGGCCTCCCAAAGTGCTGCGATTACAGGTGTCAATCACCACACCCGGGCTACAAGACTATTATTTGCAAATATTACAATTGTGTTTTTACTTGTCAAAAGCTGTATCTGTTATACTAATAATTTCATGTTTTTTGTCTTCCTAATCAGCTTTCTATTTTATTCTCAATTTTAATATGATTGCCTTAAGTCTTTCACCATTAAGTATGATGCTGATGGTTAGTGTAAGAAAAACATTTCTTGCATGTTCAGAAAACTTCTTTCTATTCCTAGCTTCCTAAAGCTATCCTCTTTCAATCAGGATATTTAAATTAATCATATACTTAATTGTGGAGAGTGGGGTGGGAGTGCAGATGCATTTAAGACGGGATCATATACACATTTTTCACCTTAAACAGAACCAGAAATGACATTATTGATTACATAAATAACTAATATTAGCCATCCATGAATTCCAGAAATAATTACTATCTTGCTTTAGAATACTATTTTTCCATCATCTGCTTGCCTGAAGAATTCAACAAGTAATTTGGGAGGAAGAGGTTCATCTATATACATTCTTAAGAAAGAATTAAATGCATGTTTCTTATGTAATCTTCACTGGCATCTTTAGCACAGTTATGTTTGCTTTATATGATTAATTTAGAAGCATTTATAAAGGATGCAGTTTAATTTCATTTTGATTAGG